TGTCAGTAGTAGCACGGAGTCTGGAATTGTGCCCGGTATATGGCAATAGGCGTGAGCATGAGTCCCATGTAATAGGGGGTGACTCATAACATATGTAGTGAAAAGTGGGTGTTACACACATTGTACAGAGGCATAATGTGCACCTCTGCCTACCCCTTCGGGGATAAAAGACGTTATGTTATGTTATGTGGTTATGTTATTGTTTAATTGCATTGTTAACTTTCTTTATTGCTACCATTTATCTCTAAATTTGTTCTGGATTATAATTCACTAGCAGCCCGTCCCGGCTTCGCACGGGGTAGACAATTATTTATTTTTGGAAATTTGGATTGTTGTAGTGACATAACTACAATAGTTGGACAAATGCTACCGCGGATTTTTTTGTAAACATTATGATGTTCTTCAATATTGTTGTATATTATTTTGTTCTGTCGCTAATAGTTTCAGCAGCGCATTCGACGAAAGACATTTTAAGACTCATTTATCTACACCTTCGGTTACGTTGTTCAAATTTTACCAAGGATCCCTAATTTTTTTCAAAATGAAATGTAGCCTATGTCAAATTGGAAGAATGTAGCATTCTATAGGAGAAAGAATTTTTTAAATCGGCTCTGTACTTTTTGAGCCTATTCATTACAAACACACAAACATACAAAAATAGGTACAAATCTTTCCTCTTTATAATATTGTTATTAATTATTATTATTATAATTCATTACAAATAATTGTTAATGTCTACTAGTCGTTGCATGTCATGTTGTGTGCCCATACTTGTGGAAGGACGGTCTGCCATTTACTGTTTTATATTGTTACTCTGTTGTGTATTACGCTGTGAATAAATAAAAATTAATAAGATTATCGTCGAAAACATATTTAGTTTTATAAGAAAATAATATCTAAATACGTGCCTTATGTTTTAACATAATCTACCAGACGGACACGTGATAAAATGTCGGAACTACCCAATTCAAGAGACGAAATTATTACACGAATGAAGACGTAACTCACATGAAAGGCATTCAACTTGAACTTAACCAAGACTTACATTATGAAGTTTAAAGTTGAATCGCAGTTATTTCCTTGTCAGCCATTTTGAATGATAGCTACTGACATCTTAAGTTGAGTTACATCGTTATTACGACCATGAATAATAACATGCAATCTTATGACCTTTGTCTGCACCAAAGTTCATTTCAATCGAGTTATGATAGACATTATCAGTAATTGCTGTTGTAATCAATATTGCAAATGTGAATTGGGACTGATAAAGACTGTCTTGATGATTAAGTATTAGTAGTTGGGTGATTCTCCAAAAAAAACCAAAAAATTAACGACGTCATTATCCTTAAGCTACAGTTAACAATTCTGCTGATTAAAATACAAAGTTTAGTTTAAAAAAATTGAGCCGTGTCACTGCTCTCACCCAATGCAATAAAATACAGATGCTAATAAGTTACTGCGATGCTTAACAACGCGGGGAAATAATGATTTGTTAAATAAAAGTTAAAGTTTTTTGATGAAACACCCAGTTCATCTTTACATTCTTCAAAAGGGATAAATATGCGTTTACAATAAATGTAACTTCTTTTTAACCGACTTCAAAAACAGGAAGGAGTTAGGCAGAAGAAGTTTGACCTATTTGATTGTGCGCAATTGTCTCGCGATTTGTTGGACCGATTTTTATGTTGTTTTCAGAAATGTGTTTGTTACAATAAAGAGATGGTTCTATGCCCAAATACTTTAGTATCGTTTTAAAGCTACCCAATTTGAAGTCGCCCTTAAGTATTCCTTTTTAAAAGGCTGGCAACGCACCTGTGACTCCTCTGGTGTTGCGGGTGTCCATGGGCGGCGCTGATCGCTTACCATCAGGTGATCCGTCTGCTCGTTTGCCTCCTATTCCATAAAAAAGTATAGTTTTGTCACTACATTCTTTTTTCGTTTCTTTTCTTTTTTTTATAAAACGTTGCCCCACACTAGGATTGTTTCCTGTGTCGTGGGTGCGTTTACAAACATACATGTTCATATACACATGACAGCCAGAACCGGAACAACAATCTGTAGATCACACAAAGACCACCGCGCCAACAGTGCCGTCATTTTTTTTATGACAGAGATGGTGCGAAACTTGATGAATACAAAAAATCTCCTTAATACCTATAATAACTATCGTGAGACATACTAAATTAACTCAAAATGGCGGGTTACTCACGTGAATGTACTAAGAAAAGTTCTACTAGTTTCGAACTATAGAGGGTTTCTTCCTCATGAGCAGCGCGCGCGATCGCGGCGATGTCGCGCAGCCTACACACCGAGGCGAGCGCTAACGCTGGCCAGTAGGCTGCGCAAGAAGAACCCCTCTGTGGTTCGAAACTAGTAGAGCTTTTCTATATATACGTGTAGTATATTCACGTGAGTAACCCGCGATTTTTAGTTAACTCCTTAATACCTATTAAGTAGCACGTACCTAGTGAGGATTTTTTCTAAGTACCTACTTAGCTCCCGCTCGACTAACAGCCACGGAGCAACAACTTAACAACCAAACAAGGCGTCTCATATTTAATGTACTTTCAATGAGAAGACAGCTGCAATTTTTAAGTAGCTTAAAACAAACTCAGGGGAAATTAGTCGATAGTTTTGAGCCTAGAAGAACTTCTGCAAGTACAAGACCTTGCCACGTGAACTTGGGAAGTTGCAAAGCTAACAAGTTCTTAGGCAACTGTCTCGATACAAGGAATCTAGGCTTGATGACGTCGTGTGGCTTAGGACTGGCATTACGTAAGCTCCCGAAGACTAGGATTAGACCAAAGCCTTCAGTTATTTGACGATTGTAATTTCGTATCTTGCTATGGTCTCGCAATGAGTATTAATTTACGTGTGTTTTTAAGAATATTATTTTGATATCGTCAGTTTTATTTACGCAAATCGAAGCGTAAATAAATATGTCTAAACTGTGTGAGCAGTTAATAACATAATGTTACTAACATCCTAAAATTTTCGGGGTTTTGTCACACCCACGGGCGGTCTGCTATGCGTCGGGGTAGTAGAAAATTGTTTCTATACGGAGATTTTTATGTTAACAAATCTGTCAATATTTCGCTAATAATAATATTGAATTTACATTGATATATTCGTAATACTATCTTATTAGGTAATAAATAATTTTTTTTTGGTTTCAGTTTACTCTCTCGGTATCATATTGTTTGCTACGATGCGTCGTAGCGTCGTAGACGCGTAGCACCGTACATTTTCGATTTTATACCAAAACAAAATCTAAGATTAGAAAGAAGTAAGTTGGTCATAGTAAATTTTCATCTTACTTATGGAACTCATAACAAACTGGCGAAAAGTCGGTGCGATATGGTACTTATCTGCGCACTTGTGCCCACTTCTTAGGAGATTTTCAATAAATCAAGTGAATAACATTTCGCTGTGAACTTGTTCAAAAAATAATTAATATAACATAACATAACATCGCGCCTTTTTATCCCCGAAGGGGTAGGCAGAGGTGCACATTTCGGCATTTAATGCCACTGTACAATGTAACACCCACTTTTCACTATTTATGTTATGAATCCCATGTAATAGGGGTTGAGCCTATTGTCATATACCGGGCACATTTCTAGACTCCGTGCTACTACTGAGATTTTTTAAAACCCCAGTAATATTTTGCCCAACCCGGGAATCGAACCCGAGACCCCTTGCCCGGCCAGTCGCACTTGCGACCACTCGGCCAACGAGGCAGTCAAAATAATTCTAGAGTTAAAATGAACAAGCACGGTGTAACATCGAATGTAATTCGGTTTGTCCATAACGCGATTTATTACGAAACTCAATTAAATTTCCGACACCCAATTTTATGCGTGGTTAATGTGGCTGCGTCAATAATATTCCAAAACAGCAAAATGTAATGCGATCCCGATTTCCCTGTTACAACCTACTATTAACGCAGAATTTCTTAAAATCATTTTTTTTAATCGAGTCAGGACTTTGCCAATGGTGACAAATAATTTCGACGTGAATTCGATTTTTTAACATAAAAGAAGGTTTTCAATTGCACTATACGAGTTAATTATATATCCTTTATGTGTGTGTTACTAACTCCGAAAACACTATTAAAAATTCTATACTCTACTCACGTATACAAACTAAGACTCATCGGTCAGTAGTCGCGCTCACGACCACTCGACTATCAAAGCAGTTCAAAAGTTATAAAATGTACCATTATAATTGTTAACGATACTAAAAATAGAGCGCGTAATACTCGAACGTACGAAGGTTTGAAATGGCATCGCAGTGCATTAACTCCGCGTGACCTTGTCGACGATGCCACGCGAGCAGACATCACTTTATAGAGACACCTAGCCCCGCTCACTGACAATGTTACGGTCTATACGTTACTCGAACTTGTCCTACTAATACTTTACTTCACAGAAACATCATGCGGTTTTCGGGAACTCACCGACCTGGATTAATCAGGCTAATTGCTACCGTGACCACCAATTAATACGAATTCATGTCGGCTAGTTTGCTTTCCTATTAATTTGAATACAAGCTCGTCATCAGATTCTTTATCATGTAAAAATATTTACTGTAGTTGTATAAACGTAAGGAATTCAATCCCAACACGCATGTTTCGCGGCCTACACGCTAACTTTACGTGTGCGTATGGGTACGCACTTACGCAGCACCTGTATGGCACGGCGATGCCACGATGCCAGTCTGGCTCCGTCCAGAACTCAGTCCCTTGCGTATCGATTGTCGCGCAATTAGCCAGCGTCGATCGTCGCAGGCCATCCGTCAACCTTTTTAGAGAAGCGTGAAAAGGTAACAAGCAGGAGAAGTGAATGGACCAATTAAATAATTCAGTAATTCGTGAACCCGCCGCCGGCGACGTAAACATGCGTGAGACGGTGAGGGGGGCGGTAGGCGGGGGCGAGTGGAGGGGCGAGGGCGTGGCCCGTGACGTCACCGCTTTCCTGCTTCAGTCGGTCACTACCCGGCGAAGCGGACGGTCGCGGCACCGCCGCCATTTTCATCACCCGAAAGTACGATAAAAATCGCCAAAATTTTCGACCGTCAGTATCACTCACCTTCAAAGGTGCTGAAATTGGAGGACGACCCGTGGGGGTCATGTGCGATGTACTCGCCGGATAAGATGAAATCCGGCGGGGGGCTCATGGCGCCACCAGGGTGCTTCCCGGGCCGGTACAGCCCCACGTACCGGAGTTCCGACCCGCGGCGATGCGTCCCCAACCCGTCCGTGAGTACTCTACTTTATACAATAGCCTTCACTGATCTACCACTGAACTACCGCGGTCGGCAAGCGTACGTCCCGCTTGTTGACGTCGCGCACTCGGCCGCGTCTCGAGGAAAATATCACCGTTCATTATAAATAAATACAATCTTCACGCGGTCGGAGACGTCTTTAATTAAATAACTCTAGGGTCTTTACATTCGATACATTTTATTTATTTTTCAGGACGTTCTAACAACTTCTTTTTCAGCATATTATGTATATGTATATATGTTGCTAAGCGATGTGACAATATTCTCGCTAGCGTCTGCCATAGCGACTACATGGAGCTCCATGGGGGGATTGTTTTTCAGCGAAATTGATCGTGTGTTCGTTTTGTATAGTTTTCGGTTCAAAATATTAATACGAAAATAACATGACACCTACTTTATTACTAAAATATTACTTGTGAACTTTATTGAAATTACAAAATAATTCAAAAAAATAAATTGGCTTATTAAATTCATTTTCAAACAAAATACTACATAGAAAAAATGCTCTTCAGACACAAAATTCATTAGATAAAATCCAAAATTAAATTTAAAATTAATATTACATTTAATATCGACATTTTAGTATTCACCAGTCACTTTAAAATTATGCAACATTTTCTACGGTAATATATTTGTGATTACTGTTATTTTAGAGTTTATTTTCGGGTAAATAGTTTTTCGCGGGACGGGAACCGTTCACGTAAAGTAAAATGCCGCCGTCGGCTAGTTCTTTCATCATCTGCTCATAAACTGTTCTACAACATAAATAAAATAAACAAAAAATGAGTTTAAAAGTACTATAAAATTTATAAATTTAAAATATAATTAAAAAAAAAGAAAATTTAACACGTTTTAATATTTCTTTTATTCCTTTTGTGAGTATTGGTTTTGGTTAAAATAAAAAATGTTGCTATACTTTTTTGTACTTTAAAATCAGTGTTACGGTAATGGGACTTTAAAAATTCGACTTTTGTTAGTATTAAATTTTCATGTACCTACAATACCTACATATTATAAAAAAGTTTAAATAGTATTAAAATTTGACATTTAATTTAACTCTTAGTTAGATTACTCGTACTAAATAAAACTGCATATTACTTAAACTTATCTTTTATTAAATTAAAATAGAAGTAATACTTACACATGACTTATATTCGTAGACTAATATTCCTATTTATATTAAACTTGAGTAAAATTAATATATTGAACTCGACTGGTGCAATCTAATATTCTATTTACGGATAAGTCGATGTATTAGTTTCCACAGACGGCGCGATTATGTTGTAATAATGTACGTTTAATAATAGACTATTGCACTATTAATATTAGGTACCGATTCTATTAACCTGGTTCTTCAGTTCGATATGAAATATAATTATCAAAAAAAGTTTTGTTAAATTAAAATATCAACTAAAATTAAAACGAAATAAAAATAAATTTATTCAAGTAGTTCAATTTACTAAAACTGTTTAAATAATTAAAGTTTTATTTTACGTCTCCACGGAACTGTGTCGTCCGTATAAAAATGTAGACGTACGTTTCTAACTAGTTCTTGGAGCTACTCACACATGTGTTGGTTTTCCCGGCGGTTACTAGAATCTAAAAATAAAACCAATAAGGGATTGTTAAGCCTAAACGACCGTTTAAAGGGTCAGGATAACTTTACCATTAGAATTTCCGACGTTAGAACAATTTTACAAATACTGAAAGAAAGTAGAGGCATTAGCCTAATGATATAAATAGCTCCAGTACGACACATCGATTTGCATCGGGTCTTCAGTACAATTTATATAATGGGCTACAATTTTCTTTACAAATTACTGTAATACTACCGCACTTTGGTAAGCGGCCGACGGCTACGGCGTAGCCCGTAGCGACGGCCGTAGCTCCGTAGCACCGTAGCCCGGCGGACGGTTTCGTGTAGGCGGGGTAAATTACACTCAGGAAAAACCTTTTATATATAATACCGAATACTTAAATAAAAAGATCATGTTAATATGTTCCCGATTTTAAGAATACCGAACGCAAACGGCTTAATCCTTCCTGGTTAAATAATTGAATACTTTATCGGCATTTCAACGAAACGCTAAAATGTATTTGATAGAGGCTTTAAACTTTTTGTTTCATTTATCCTTTATTCATTACGGATTGTCATGTCATTAAGCGTATTATCGGCTGAAAACTATTCAAGCGAACACTTATATTAATTATGATTGGCGTGAATTATAATGAAGTTTTTCAGGTTTCAGCCGGCGGGAGGCGGCTTTTTGAAAATTCACACCTCGCTAATTGGTATCTACGGAAATAGCTTTCAAATACATTTTCATCAGTTTCGTAATGAGACGATTTTATTTAGGTTCATTTCTTTCGGTGTTTCTTTGGGATTCATTAATAAAATTAATAATTCATTAAAACTTCTAATTTTAAATGGAGACTTAAACAGTAAGAAGAAGCGGCATTAAATCCACGTATTGAAGCAAATACTAAAATGCATATTAATAATTAAAAACTTGATTGATAAAAGGGGAACGACTCGCGATAAATCGAAACATTACTTTCATAAATTGTTTTGTTAACTATATAAATCGAGTGAAACACAATCGAAATCGAAATTAACGGAACGCCTCTATTTAAAAACAAAGTAATCCCAATGACAATAAACGAAACGTTGAAACGTGAGCCACAACTATTTAATTATGAATACTAATACGTCCAACTATTGATAGACATTCATTCATAGAATATTTATTTTATTACTTATACATTGCAACACTTAACTGTGTTACCCTTTTAAAAAAATAATTTCTACTGTTTCTATTTTTTTTAGTCTTTCAATGGTACTAGACGTACTACGGGTAACCGCGGCGGTTTATAGTCGCGTGAGTTTGTTAAATAAGGTACAAACTGCCGCATGTACGGTTCTTTCCCGCGACTGATCTTAAAATTGGTAAATGTTACAAAATCGTGGTAAAAAACCGTCGTCAGTTCATAGAAAACTTAGTGGTAGGATTTAAGGTTAATATGTGATATTGTGAGATTTCTCGGCTTAAAACTGCGTTGTGGGTCTCGGGCGGTGTGCAACTAGAGCGGTTAACCGCTTGCGGGAAAAAACTATAGTGTGGTCTACACCTAAGCGCATATTTTCACGCGTTTTCTTTTTAAATCTCATTATAGGCGTTCTCATGGTGAAAATGTTGCCAGTTGTAATTACATATATCAACGACCAATCAAATTGTTGACATATAAATAAAATTTAAAGGTTCTTTTTGCACGGGAATAAAGATTTTTTTATGGAAGATTGTTAAGTTTTTAAGTTGACGTAAAATTACGGAATGGGCACGTTTTGTGTGACGCGAACGGGGAGTTAAGGAAATGTGATTTCAGTGTTATTTTTTTATTTTAGACATTTTTTTGCCCTATTATTTATTATGCGTACATTTTAGTAATTGTATTGTCTGTTGGTCTCAACTGACATTTTAGGAGTTCATATTTCAAATTATGGAATTTAAGAGACACTTAAATTTCAACGATTAACTCTAGCATTTGTAAAGTTTACTGTTGAACCTGTAGGTATGAGACTTTATTAGATAACAATAAACTAATTGGCTTGCCTGTAGTAAGTGATTGGAAATATTGAACGTATGTGGGTAGAGTTTGTGCCAGGTCTCCAGAATTATAGGATCATTATATTAGTTCTATCAATATTATTGTTATTAACAAGAATACTTAAATTCTCCTAACCTAAACCTGTTTAAGTATTTCTCAAATACTAGCACATAATCGCTTAAAGATATTCTTTTTACAAACGATAGGTAAAGACTCGCCCTCTTTTTATAAAAAATATAAAAATAAACATAAGTGGTAAAAAAACACGATTAAGAAATAAAACTTCTGTCTAACATTTCGAACAATAACAAATTTAAGACGTAACGACACTAGAGACCGTCACAGACCTAGCTATAATATACATGACAATAAGATATATATTCACATATTTTCAATACAAATTTTTGACTGACACACACATACAGCTATTTATGTGACGTCATCAAAATACATCCACGAAATATATTTTTTTATATTAATGTATTTAAATCGATACGATCGCAGACTTAAAATATATGTTATAGTATAGCTCCCGTGTTTGGTAGTTAGCTATACTATAATATACAGTTCGATATATTAATATATTATAGTTGGGTCTGTGATGCCTGACGGCCTTAAATACTACACATGTTGATCTCGTTCTAGACAGTAAACTAAAATTAACACCTTTGGTGTTTCCTATTTAGAAATTGGAATATCTATTTCAGATATAACTTTAACTAAAGACGCTGAGTTCAAGAGGCAATCAAGACAAAATTAGTCATATGTTCACATCGTCGAACATTGATTCTATTGGTTTGAACCAATATAGGAACTTTGATCTATTTTTTGTGCACTTGGTTGATAAAACATCTAACGATATTTTTTTTCAATATTGAGTTACAAAACACATTCGGAATCAGCGTATTTTTTCATCGAATGATGTGTATGTTGCACAATCGTGTAAAAATGTCGTTTAGATCATGTAGATCTTCGAATAAGGTACTGATTCTCTGATGTAATCAAGTGAGTAAAATACATTTCCGTCGCTAGTCTTCTCGTGGGTATCATAAGTGACCCTTAAAGAGTTACATTTGATGGAAAATCAAACAAAACCTCTTTTTTACATGTCTATCGAATGTACAGGAGCATCATAGTCCCGTAGTGGACATTTGCGAACTGTTGTTATTATCAAATGCTCTTTTATTTGATACTATTAAATTCATTGTGTATTCCGCAAAAATAGTTGTATCATAAATTCAAGTCTAATTAATAATGTATTTGTATTAATATTTTAATTATTTACTTTGTATTGAAAATCGACTATATTACAGTAAATATTGTTCACTGTTTAACATTCAAATACATACTTTTAGATATCAGTATTTA